ACCACCTGCGTGCAGATCTTATCCTGGCCAACCTGGATCGCCTGTCTGTGGAGGGTCTCGAACAGCTTGGCGATGTCCGCCTTCGTCTTGACCAACACCTCGATGATCCTCCTATCATGGGCAGCGCGTCGCGGGGGACATGGTAGAACCCCCCCGGTTCGGGGTGATCAGAGTTCGTCGCCAAGGTGAAGGAGATACCAGGGGCGTCGACAGCGCGGCGCATCAGCCGCGACATCACCTCCTGGCCCTGCAGCCCCAGCTCGCCTTGAACCTGCACCTCCGCGAAGAAGTCGGAGATGGAGTTGAGTTTCCCTGCCCTCCGCTCGGCGGCGGCGGAGCGCGGGGCCGTCGCGGCAACGGCAGCGATCGATATCCCGCGCCCACCGAATCTGGATGGGGCGATGTTTGAGCCGGGGCGCAACGTTGCCCGGATCGCGCTGGTAGATCTCATTCGAGACTGAGGCCCACGTGTCTGGAGAAGCATCCGAGACCACGAAGAACCTCGTCGTGCCAATCGCGGCCATCTGGGAACACAGCGCCCAGTACTGGTGAAAGACCCCTGGCCCATTGCACTCAAAGATGAAGGTGTTCACGTTCGCCGCCAAACCTTTGAGGCCAAAGAACATCGTAGAAGGAAGATGGGAGCGGCGGAGCTCGTGTAGGGTGTTGAGGAGGTCGCAATGAGTGAGGTGGCCGGGGAAGACGATATCCAGGGACAGGCGCGGCGACCCTGGGGTGCTGCGGTGGCTCTTGCGGTGTGTCCAGGGCGTGGCGCCGACCATCGACGGGCGCGAGAGGAGCGCCATGAGCACCTGCAGGTCGTCAACCAGCACGTGGTCACGGCGCGGGCCGAGCCGACCTGGAAGAGCGGGGTCATGGACACCACGCGCGGGAAGCACCTGCCACCGTTCAGTTACAACGAAAACATGCTCAATCCGTGGTGCTGCACCCGTAGAACCCCCGACATTGTGGGCATAATCACCTCGAAGGGGAAGGGGATGAAGGCCACGCCCTTAACGAGGAGGACCCACCGTTCGGACAACAGTGGGAACGAACAGATACCCGTGATGCTGGTGATGTTGGTGAGGCTCGTCGTCAGCGGGACCATGGAAATCAGGATCACTGCGACAGGGCGAGGCTGATCGGCCGCGCGCCACAGGAGGGAGGAGCGGAGGCGGGTCTGCGCGTTCTTATCCTCGGGGACCCACAACACGGAGACCCTGCCCGCCAGGCGGTCCCATAGCTCCTCGTTCCCTTTTATCGGCCAACGTCGCGAGCACCCTGCAGAGCCGGGGTAAATGCAGGGCAGGGTCACGCGTTTGAGCACATCCGACCACTGCGTGAAGAACTCCACGTGGGGGAGATTGATGTTCTGCTGGACAACGATGATTGCCTCCAGCCCGAACTCCCGATAGAGGGGCGGCGGTCGTTCAGGCTTGATCTTCCGCCGCTCCTTAAGGGCCCTAGGGAGCTCGTCTTCGCACCTGGGCGCCGCGGCGATGAACTCGGCCAGGAGGATTCGAGCCTTCGCGGCGTCGTGCGGCCATCCCTGCGCGAAATACAAGGATATCACTTCGCAGGCGGCCCTCGTCCGGGCTGCGATATTGTTGTCCGCCGGGTCGGGACCCTCGAATCTCGCAAACCCTAGGGTCGCCCAGTGGTCGTCGGCCGATACGTTGTAGCCCAGTCGAGTCAAGATGGCCACGAGGTCGGTATAGTCCTGGGGGGGGGGCTTGACGGGGATCGACTGCGGGCCGTCAGCCTCCGACGCGGGCAGGGAGGCGTGCACCAGCTCAGAGTGGTGCAGGACCTCGGTGTCCACCTAGTTCTGCAAGAGGACCTCGCGTGGTGAGGGTCTCCCGAGCCCCGGCGGTCCCGCTGCGTCCGCTGACGCCGCCGCCAGCACGGGGGCCGCCGGCGCCGCCGCGGCAGCGGCGCTCGCAGCATGCGCGGCAGCCTCAGTCCTCTCAATGGTCCCACGTCGACCTCGATAGCGTCGAGGTCGGCCGACGTCTGCGACATCCCTAGGTTTTCGGAGCCACTCATCTGGAGATCCGCAACGCCCTGCGTGGCGCCAGTGGTCTCGTCGTCGTCCATGTTCGCAGCCTCCGCCGCGGCGGCTGGAGCTGCCGCAGCTGGGGCAGCCGCCGCACCTCCAGCAGCACCATGCGCGACGCAGTAGTCGAAGCCCGGGACCGCCTCGCCGTGCATCCCATGGCTGAGGCATAGACGGCAAGGCGACATAGCAGGGCGAAAGTATGGAGTGGGATGGGAGAAGCCGAAATTCGCCCTGTGGGCGGGCACTCGGGGCCTTGAGCCAAGGGCTGGGCAGGGAATGAGACGCAGAGGCCAGGCCCAACGCCAACGCCCGCCGCCCTCCTCGCAGACGGCACAATGGGGTCCTCTTTGGAAATCCAAGTCGGCTAGGACACGCGTCGGCAGGTAGAAAAATAAACGCGCAACTCGGGGACTCCGAAATGGAGTCCCAAAAGATGGTGTCGGAGGGTCGCGCCGCATCGACGACCCATCGGCGATGCACCGTCGACATCGGCGATGCATCGGCGACGTCGACGTGAAGCAAGACGGAATCGCCGCGTCGCCAACGCATCAGCGATGCGGAGCGATCCTTCGACCCCATCTATTCGGATCCCATTTGGGAGGCCTACGAGTAGTGGGTGGGAGAAGGGAAGGGATGGGTGGGATGGATGGCGCGAGCTCAGCCAGCTTGGCCCAACCCCCTCTGCCCTGACCCCCCCCTTGGGAGCCCTCCGACCCGGGATCCCCTCGCAACCCTTGCGGCCTGCGCGGCGCGCGGCTGGGAGGCCGGGAGGCCGCAAGGGCGGCCTGGATCCGGGAGCTTCCTCTGAGAAAGAAAACCCTTGTTTTGGCAGGAAGGGGATACAGGGTGTGACGGTGGCCCAGAGATCCGACGCTCCCAAAAAATTAGTTCTGGCAGTTTTTGGCCGTTGTCAGCCTTTGGGGGCCCTCGACAGGCCTCGGGAGCGTCAAATCGAATCAGGACGAAAAAACAAGCCCTGTAGGAAAGTGGTCCAGACCTCCGGGGCCAACGTATCGAAAAAATTGGAACAGGCGGATGTCCTGGGCAATAAACATACGCGATACTGCAGGGATGGCCCGATCGCCGAGCGCGGCGTTCAGAATCCCCGTTGAAAGCAATGTGCGCCCAGGATGCCCGAGGTGTGCCCGCCAGTATGGCCCAAGCAGGGCTCCAACGCGAAGGAGAAGGCTTTTGAAACATCCCAGATGGCCTGAGGACGGCTCAAGAGACCTGGGAGACGCCCAGAGAAGGCCACATAACCCCAAGAAAGCACCCAGAGGCAACATTCATTGAGCTTCCTATGGGTCTTGAAAGGTTCTCGCACTCTCGCCATTTCAAAAACAAATTGAACCCCGATGCTGCCGAGAAACTCCCCGTATTGGCCCAAGACGACCGAAGAGGCTTCTAAGAAGGCCTTGGTGATTGACCATGAAGGCCCCAAGGCTGCCCCAAAGGAGCCCAAGACGGCCAAAGAGGTTTCCACGAGGGTCCCAAGAGGCAAGAGCGGGGACTCGTAAGGGGCCTCGGAGCCATCCCCCACCTGATGATCTCCCTAAGACGTCCAGCATGCCCCCAGGAGACCCCCAAAGAAGCTCTCAGACAGCTCAAAGAGCACCCGACAGCCCTGATCTTGCTCCCAGAAGGTCTACACCGAGGTCTCCAGGAGGCCACCCCAGAAGAGACGCGGAGGCAGAGGGGGACAAACACGAAACAACTACTTTCTAAGCGGCAGCGCTGGTGGTCGCAAACGCGTCTGCCGATCCGGAGGGTCGCGCCAGCCCGAAACAACTACACGCAGACAGCACAACGCATACGAAATTAGAAGCCGCACATTTCTTACTCCTGAAAACAAGAACCCGCCCGGGCACGTGCGTACCATCTCGGCGATCCCCCAAGAAACACAGGCGAAACTGTACCTGCGGTAGATGGAGAGTTGTCGCCGCCTGGAGCGCACACAAAGGAGGTGCATGCGAAGAGAAGTCCTGCTATAAAAGATCCAGCGGCACTGTCGTCGGTCCACAAAAACCTAAGGCGCCCCAAGACTTCACTTGCTCCCCAGGACCATCGGGGCAATAGGAATCAGACACGTCCGAGGGCCACCTGGCGCAGGGCCTGTGCCTCGCTTGCGGTGCCCACTGCGCCGAGAGTGAATTGGTTATTGAGCCCACTCCTCGGCGAGAGCGTCTTCTGTGCTGCCCAGCACTCACCCCTGCCATCCCTTGCCATTCATGGGAGACGCACGAACCCGGATCAGCGCAGACCCGGCTCAACAACGGCTCCGTCGCGAACCCAAGCCGGCCAAGAAGTAGCTCCCAAACCCGGGTCCGCGGAGGGCGGCAGGCGCGGGGTCGGCTCCAGGTGGCTCCCAAGAAGGGATCAGCCAGAGGCTCTCGAGGGGGATTGGCTGATCCCCCTCAGCGCTGACCCCCGGTACGTGAGCTGGAGGGCCGGACATGTACCCACACGGCTACTCCCTGGACCTCTCCAGGGGTGCGTTCTGACTAGAATTTCGAGGCGAACCTAGCGGTGGCGACGAGGGCCCGCGCAAAAAGGCGCAATCGAGGCGGGGGCAGCAGTATCGAAAGAGATTGGCTGACCCCCGTTAGCGCTGACCTTCGTTGCAGTCGGACCTAGGACAGACGAACATTCTTCAAGAACGCGAGACCCTCCGCCGGCTAAAACACACAGAACATCCAAGGGCACCCTCTCCAGGGGACGGGAGGGGGCATAATATAGCGCTCCCCCCCCCTCCAGACTGTGGTGCCGGACGCACTGCGGCAGTGCCGGGGGCGCACTGAGAGGGGGAGCGTTACGTTGTGGGGGGGGGAGGGGGGATGGTAGGGGGCATAACGCGCATCATGGCCCACAGGTTAAAAAACACTCTCTACCTCGGTCCGACCCTACGTGAGCCTCGAATTCCGATAAGCCAGGGGTGCCGGGC